TGATGTCATCAAATTGTAGATTTTCTACAATTTGAGCCAATAAACATCATAGAAGCCTAGAAATGTGGGTGGACAGCTATGTTTTTTTTTTTGTTGTTGTTGTTTTTTTACAATGAGGACAGCATTTATTGGGAGCTGTGGATGTGTTTATTTTATTTCCAGCTGGGCATTTCTGGATTTTTGCATTTTTGTATCCAAGCATATTTGCATGTCTTTCGCTAACTTTCACATGAGCTTTTTTTAGACATAGAGTGGAAAATGAAACCACATCAAATGTTTTTTCCACCCGCAAATCATCTTAAGATGGCCGGGCAATAACATGAGTGAGGCACAAGCTCATTATTAGCTCATTCCCTCTCTTATCCTGTTCATCTTAGTCTTGTCTCTGTCTGTTCTTCCTACCATCCCCTATATGTAGTCTGTCATGTCCCCATGCTTGTTTATCTTTTGTCTATGCCAAGTTTGTGTGTCTTAGCATAAACACTCACTGTTTACTAGAGACAAAGACCATATCTATAATCACCCTCTTGGTTATCTGAATCTCCAAAGACTGTTATTTCTCCTGAGCTAATCCCTCCACTAATCTTAACCCCAGTGTGAGAGCAGCCAGGGCCAGGTTCCAGCCAGTCCCTGAACCTTTCCTTGTTCCTAGGGTGAGGCTGTCCCATACCCAACTTGTCCCTGCAACTCTCAAGGTGAGATCAATTGGGGTCTATTCTGTCCATACACTCGTCCCTCTTCCTAGGGTGAAGGTAACAAAGACCCAGGAGGTGAGATGGTGGTGCTCAGTGGCAAAGACATCTGATGATTTGATGTATCAGAACTGTTATGTGCAGGCCGGTGTACCAGGTGTTTACATCTGAGTCAGACAGGAAGCAGAACATGCATGCAGTAAAGGGAAGTTGCAGAGGAGGGTGGCTGGGGTGTTTTCAAGCCATAGGTGGAAATTGAGGAGCGTGAGCAGAGGGACTTAAATGATGCAGTGAGATTCACACCTATTAAATATCCCAAGATCTGCCACTGGATCCTTGAAGTCTTTGTAAATACGTCTGAACATTGTGAGATTATTATATTATCTTATGCCATGTTAGACCCCTAATTAAAGATTGTGAAATCAGTTTGTAGTTTTAGTTTGCATTATTCTCCTGACTTAGAAGAAGGTGATAACTAGTACAGTTATTAAACTGATTTGTATTAAATTAGATTGCAGATTTATGGTGAATGATATTGTTTTATGATGCATGCTACTGCTGCGTTATAAGAAATATCATTTTCAGAGAATCATGTCCTTATTTGTCTGATTAGAAAAGAACTGAACATACTGCACAGGAAGCCAAGGTCATAACTTAGGCTCACTGAGAGAGAGAAAGAATGTGGATGTTTAGGTTTTATGACTGTGGAGGGGGGCTGAAGGTATAAGAATGTGAGAAACGCTCAGACACGACGAGATCAGGCGGACACCCTCCCGCGCTCATCTCCCCTCCGGATGGTTTATGCTCAAAAGTGTTGTATGGAATAATGAGAATTGTATGGAATAAAATGATTGTTGATTGAGCATTTATACACCGAGTGTTGTCCTTCCTTCAGCCCAAAGATCAAAGAACTGAGAATTTAACAACAT